AGCCTTCACTTGAATGCACATTTTGTGTGTCTGCTTATTTTTGTGCTTGATGTTCTTCGCAACAGAACATGGGGAAAATTGTACACTTAACACTGCTGCTTTCAGGCCATCTGAAAATTTTGAAAGGGAAACAATGTTTTGGTTTTTGACACAAAATAGGTTTGTGGGTTTTTTTTAATTTAAAATTTTTTTTTAACACCCTATGATCAGTAAACCAAGGAGTTATTTTCTGGGTCATGTCACCATAGACTAGATTGGAACTACAAGTAGTTGGTAGTATTTGTCTTTTGCTGTCCTTTTTATGGATTCATTATGTGAAAACCAAAAAACCTTATATTTCAGGTCGGGATGAATGTACATGAGGAAGCTATCTTACAGTTTTAACTGAACTTTCTATGTGCGGTGCTGCCTGGCACTAGCTTCAACCCCCTCTGTGCTCACTTCCTTAACTCAGCTTCCTGCCATCTGTCTTACTAACTCCCCTTCACTTATCCATTCCCAAAATATTCCTTTCCCACACAATGCCTAGCATAGTGTCATGCTGTCGCTATTCATTTTGCTGAAATGCATTATCCCTTTCCCCAACTACCTTTGTCTTGTCTATTTAGATGAAGTTGTTTAGGGCAGGGTCTGCCTGCTACTGTACATACAATGTCGTCCCTGTTCTTGGCACTAATAATAAAGAAGAAAAGATGCAATGTGGGGAAAATGAATCAACTTTTACTTGGGCATCAATGCACTGTGGCACTATTATAATTGTGAGCTCTACATAGATACACATGTAGTAGTCCTTTATTTCAATACTTGCAGTACAGTGTTAGGGACAGAACAGATACGCTCGCTTTGTTTTAGTCCTCATTCTCTACGACACATTGAAGCTAACTTCAGAATCACCTTATAAGTGTTCCACCTCAATACCAACCCAAGAGCAGGGTTTGGAAGGAAAACAGGATTTTGCAGCCTATCCTCAGATGCTTAGGAAATTCACCTTGCTGTGACAATGATTTAATTCTTCCTCAAGTCTTAAATGCAAACTGAGGCTGCTCTGTACATGGGTTTTCTGTACACAGAAACACTTCAGGAAGGTATCTGAATGAGAGCTGCTTTAACCAAAAGTCCTGGAGAGCATTTCTGTTGTAAGTCTCCACATTGCACAATATACAAGCTGTACGGTTTGCATACTTCAGAGTTTCCAGCATAACTGGCATAATCCGTTGTTTACAATGGGAAACAATGCAACTAAACATTGATACAACCTCAATAGAATACTAAAACAAGCTAGTGGTGCTTGCATATTAAATGAGGGATAATTGGTCAAAACCATGCGTTAGCACTAGTTTTGCATGACTTCTGCTTTTTTGGTAAACAGTCCTATGAAAGTATCTGGGGTTTTTTTTATTACTGTTGTTTTTGTCTTTTAAATCATTTCCTTACCTACTGATGAATCTGTAAGTTATTAACCATGTCAGCTACTGAACTCCCCTTCTAGTTACAAGTTTTACAGTCTGTTCAGTAAAAGTGTGTGCATGTGTATGCCCACCTTTGCTTTTAAATCTTTTTATGTTAGCCTAAAAAAGTACAAACGCAAGTAACCATTTAGTTTCATGCTATTTTTTATTCCTTCATTAATACCAAAAATTACAGCTATTGAGATGAACAAATATCAGTCGGTTTTCAATTACACCAGGTATAGCTAATGTTTAAAGTCCCAAAAGAGTATGAAACTTTTTAAAACTTTAAGTTTCTAATTAGGAGACAGTCTTTAACAATAGGAGACTGCTTTGCTAAACAACTCAGTTTGTTGTTTATTAGGGTTTTTTGGTTTTTATTTTTTAAAGAAAAAGTGAATTGGTAAGAAGGCAGCATAAAAGTCGGTACCTACTTTATTGCAACGCCTAACATGCTTATCTTTCAAGCAAGCACCTGTACTTTATTGTGAGAAATATGCTTAAAATACGTTTACATTTTAACCTTTTTTATTGTCATATCTTCATTTTATTAATGCATGGGCACAACAGTATCTCACACAATGGAAAAATAATGATACTAAGTTACTTGGTACAGATGACACGCTCCTTTTGTTCTTACCATAGAAATAATTACGCTACTTGAAAGGAGTTTGATAATCTGAACATACTCAACTATGTTGTAGCCATTGTGACATAATCGGAAATAAATTGTTGTTCCTTTCTTGTCTTCTACTCATGCTACTTTTTTTTGCAGGTAGTGCTATTAATTTAGTCAGATTATTTTAGGGGTAAAATATCACTGGGGCGGGAGGGAGAGGCAGGAGAGCAGAACCTCGCTGTAAATTTCTGCTTATGCTAATTGCTCATAGCATTGCAAACAGCTTTTCCTGTGGCCTTAACCTTCTTGCTCATATGCTGGGTGTTAAAACAAATGTGATAACTTGTCAAAAACAGTTATGCTGACTGTCTTATTCATGCCTTAGCTTCATTGTGGGTAGGTTTCCTCTTCCACTTTTGCTTTTTTGAACTTCATATTCTTATGATGTCTTTTTGCACTTTGCTTTTGTCAAGTTAAATGTGCGATGACTTATCATTGCTCTTAGCAAGGAAGAGTTTTTCTCAGTGCTAAGGGATGGGTCTGCTGCATCAAATGATGACAATAATAAAACACAAGTTGTAAATCTCTAATGAGAAAAAAAAGAAATAACAAGCCTGGGGGGTGTCAGACTAACCAGAATTCTAAGACTAACACAAGGGGGCAGACAGCACGAACTACAACAGATGTAAATAAAATCCACAGCAACATAACTTAGTGTATGTTCAGTATATTGCAAATGTACTTTTGTACAAATGATGTAGCAAAGTTCTGAGCCCCCTAAAGTCAAGATGCCACTGGATCTAGCCTTTTTGTACATTGTCTAAATGATATGTAGTGATTATGGGTGAGAAAGAAGTACTTGAGTTCAAGATTATATAGACAACAAGTTTGCTCACTATGCAATAGTTCAAATATTTTGTCAAAGATTTTTTTAAGATAAAATAATGCACTCTTTCCCCCCCCCCTCCGCTTTTTGATTTCTGATCAAATTGGGTTCTAACGCTATTAAAAACAGCTAAATTTCTTCTATATTAAGCTACAATATCAATTTTTTATACAGTCTTATTTATCCTTGTGATTGATGCAACTAACTCCCCTTATAATAATTGTCCCACTAGAGTATAATAATAAAAATTCCTTAATAATGCCCTCTTTCCCCCCCCCCTCCGCTTTTTGATTTCTGATCAAATTGGGTTCTAACGCTATTAAAAACAGCTAAATTTCTTCTATATTAAGCTACAATATCAATTTTTTATACAGTCTTATTTATCCTTGTGATTGATGCAACTAACTCCCCTTATAATAATTGTCCCACTAGAGTATAATAATAAAAATTCCTTAAAAGTTTCAGGTATCTTAAAAATAGTATATGTAAAACTTTTATGTACCATGCAACCTACACCCCTGTAAAATATCTGATATTTAAGATTATTTTTAAAGGAATTAGGAAGTAATAAGTGACTTATTATACACTAAGATATTATTTCCATCTACCTCTTTTTAAAATATTACTACACAGCCTTGTAATAAACATGTAACACTGAAGAGAGTATGTGTATGAGAATGTTAATACAGCATGTAACTACTCTTGGCTGTCATAAGGATATAATAAAAAAAATTCATTCATATTGCTAAAGGTCCAATAGGCACATCACTTAGAGCACAATCCCACATTTATATTCATTTTAATGCAAGTTGAACCAAGCAAGGATTTTGGACTCCTCCAGCTTCATTGGATTGGCCGTGATATTCAAATGTGTACTACAGATGGGTATCAGTAAAAGATGTGTGCTCTTTCGTTACTGTGCTGAAGCCTTTGATGGCATTAATGAGATCTTCATCCTCCACATACTAGGAAAAAGAGGGGGGGAGATAAGTTGTAGCATGAGTCGCAAAAGAAGACTTGTGTTCTGCATGACTTTATACTTAGGCACTGAAGGCTAAGTCCACAAAAGTACTTTGGTGTCTAAATTCTATGCAAGTCTGAGATTATGATCCTAAAATTTCCCGTGCACTTAATGTTTTGGGGTATGCCCCAAGCTGTCCCCATCTTGATGGGTGAGCAGCTGAGCTCTCCTTGCTCCCAAGTCCATTTGGGATGTTCAAGGTCTATGTTCATTTCCCTCTCCCTACAGGGGGACTTGATCCAGAGGGTGCTCGGCACCACTGAATCCAACATGAAACGCACTGAACTCTGGAAGTGTTAAACTGCACTTGCCTAAGTTGCAGAAGTCCCTTCCTATGAGGTGCTACCAAAACCCACATATTTTGCCTTCCTGGAGCATGCCCTAGCTATTAACATTCCAGGAGAAGTGAAACTGTTGAACTGTGACACTACAGAAAAGATTTCAACATGTGCTGGGCCGCAGGGAGGAAGCAGGTGGGGAAACTTAGTTCTAGTCCTTGCTGCAAGCATTGATGTCTTTTTTGAAGGCTGTCAAACAATTTTAAAATGATTGCGATTAGTTGCGCAATTAAAAAAAGTCACAATCACAATTTTAATTGCACAGCTAAAAACTCAGAATTATGTGCAGAAAAACTTAAAGTTATGCAAAATTATGCAGGTACTCTGGTTGAGGGGTGGGGGGGCTGTTGGGGTGTGTGGGGAGTTTGGAGCCCAGGCAGGGGAGTTCCCACACAGCCACACAGGATGCAGGGTACTGTGGGTCAGGAGTGACGGGCAGCAGCAGGGCTGGGGGGGGCCTGTGGCTTGGGAGTGAGTTTGTGCCTGCTAAACCATCTAGTTTAGGCAGCTCCCCATGCCTGTGGTTGTAAATCCCAGTCCTAAGTGTCCATCTCTTCCTAGGGGCAGTGTATGGCAGTTTTTCCCAACAAGTGTGCTATGGCACAAAAGTGTGCCATCAGAAATGAACAGGTGTGCCACAGAATTGTGCCATGGCAATGACCTACAATAGGTATGAGGATGGGGAATGCCTTGACAGGTGTGCTGCGGAAAATTTTTATTACTGTAAGTGTTCCTTGGGCTGGAAAAGGTTGGGAAACTCTGGTGTATGAAGTCTATATGCTTTAATTGGCATTGTTCCACTAGGTGGCTCTGTGCCTAACAATTACGCAATGTAATTCTCAGCATTGCAGTACCTTAGTCCTTTTGTGAATCTAGCCCCTGCTGCCTAACACTGGACCATTATCAAGATATAGGCAGCTGTGGGCCTCCCAACTAGCAGCTATTTGGTGAACTTTTGCGAGGCAGGTTGGCACCTCCACAAGTAAATGGTAGTTGAGAAGAGGTTTTGAAAATGTCAATACTGGACATGGTTGCCTAAATCCTCTTATGGATCTAGCTCTGGGTACTTTCTGAAAATGTCCCCACTATCTTGTTAAATAATGAGCTACCAGAATGCTGACTGTCCATGAACTAGCCACAATGCATGATACTGTAAAGGTAGCCAAAAGAGCTTACCAGACTACTGTCATGGCTGTGTATAATGGTATCCCACACAGAATCTTCTATTAGAGACTTTTTGTCATAGACATTGATAAGTTGGCTGACACTGCGATGCAGAGAACTTCTGGAGTAAGTACGACTCATCTGCCTTTGACTTGGTAGCCGAAGAACAGAAGCACTTTGGTGGCTCTGATTACTCGTAGGAGATGCAGGTCCTGGAAGTTTTGTATCTGCTAGGCCCTGGAAATATGTACACAACAGTAGCTTGAAAAAAGCAATATCACGATTTAGGATAGGAATAAGCTATTGCTTATTAATATTTTAGCCTGTGCTAAACTTTATCCTTGGAAAGTACAACCTCTGCAGCCAAGCTGGTGGATTTCATAATAAGGCAACACATGTCAATGGTGGAGTTTTAGCCTGATAACAGAACACAGTATTGATCATTAACACTAGCTCTAGCTATTGTTCCCTGTGGAAACAATGGCTTGCTGCAATGCGGTTTAACAAGGTGATCTCTTGAAGATCTCCTGTTAAGTACACAATTCATGCATGTCACTACAGTAATTGCCATCCCATTTAGAACCCAGAGATAGACATCCTATGAAATACTTCCAAGGTTAGTAGGGGCTTGGCATATCTGACATTAGATGATACCCAGAAATCTCAGCAACTGTTATATATTTGTGATCTGGGTATAAACTAGTCTCCCCTTTTCTCCTACCTGCAGTCTTATTCTGAACATTTACATTTTCCTATTTTCCCAGAGTTGTGTATTTGGAGGTGGGGAGGGCTACATGTTAAACCACTTTAAGTGGAGTCTCCAAGGTTTCTGCTGGAATAATGAAACTCAACGGCTATGCATTACAGGTATGCAGCTATGTGCTACATGGATTCTAGAAAGCAAAGGATATGCACCATGCTGGCTACAAAGAGCCAGATCCTAGTCTGCTTATTACCTATGTATAGTCCTATTCCAGCCAACTCAAGTTCCTGAAACACTATTACTTTTGACACAGCTTCACCTTGTCCTATGGCTGCATGCATAGGTATGTTTACTACACAGTAACAAGACTCTTCTCTAGAAAAAGTGAGAGACAAATGGCATATGGTCTTATACTCCTATAATTCACTCCATGCCAGCATAAAGTTACTTGTCAGAAAGTGAGAAGTAACTATATGCTATGGTGTGGGTTGTGTTTCTGCTGCCTTTGCCAATTTCATCCTTCAGTAGCCCTTTGCTCCCAGCAAACTGGCTCCCTTGCCTGCTAGGGGCCAGGAACTGTAAGATCACCTGAAACCAGCAGAAAATTTAGGAGACCTGATTACTTCTTACTGTAAATATACTACAGAGTAAAACCTTGGGTAAACTATCCTGGAGTAAGGAAATAAATGCATAACATGCAGTAAATCACAAAGAGCACCAAGGATGACCCACCCACCTTTCGCATTGCTCAAATCCCTGAAAAACTAACAAAGTAGAATAGCATCACAGTGAGGGCCTTGTTACATAACAAGTTTAGGCAGCTTCTGGAGCTCTTAACCCCTGAACTGGCTGCATGTTAACACCTTTTAAGTGGTTTAAAGGGTTCTTTATTCGTTTTAAGGTTGTGTCACACCAGGGCAGGATTATCTCTAACCTGCCTAACTTTGCTTCTGTACCTTCAAGGTGTGGCCACTCCAGACAGCCATTCTGCCCCAGTTGAAATCCTCCAGTATCCCAGGATACAGTGGCCCCTCCTGGGTCGGGGTGAGTGAGGACACCAGGGTGCAGCGGGACTAGGCATGGTGCCTTGTCCTGCAGACGTGAGCAGAGTGCCCATTTCTGCGATGCCTCCCCCTGCCACTTTCACTCTCTTGCTCTGCTGGATAGGAGCAGCAAATTGGTCCAAGCAGCAGCAGGAGGCACTGTGACCACCAGGCACTCCAGGGCTGTGGTGCTTGCTCTGCCTGGCAGAAGTAGCAAGCCAGCCCTGCCCCTAGCTCCTACCTAATCTTGCTGCTGCTGCTCACCAGGCCTCTAGTGGCAGCTGTGTAGGTGAAGGACAGTCAGAGAAGGATTTTTCACCTTAAAGTGTGATTGCTCCACTAAGCCAAACAACACTAAGCCAATTAACATTTGTGCATCTTATAGCGTAAGATGTAACAAGGCCCTGAGATGCCTAATAGGCAGACTGGTATCTAGTGCAAGGTCTTTTCCAACTTTTATCACACACCATGCAAAAGGTTTTCATGCAGATACTTCAGTCCTTCTAAATTATGTTGCAACAGCACACAGACTGTGTACACACTAGTGGTAGAGATACCTCAAAATGCATTGTGTAACTTTTTAACGTAACGCTACTCGATGAATCGGATACATCTGCAACAGACTCAAACTGAGATAAAAAAGGGAGGAGAAGTGTTAACAACATTTGCCAAAGTGCCATGACCACTGTTTTATTCCAGGCTTGGATAATACTGCAAATGTAGCTTTAAAAAGAATCCCCAGGAGAGCAGATTCTCAGCTGGGCTACAAATCAGCATAGTTCCAGCTACTTTAATAGGGCTACACTGATTCACACCAGCTGAGTTCTAGTTCATTGCACATAAATACAGACAATGGGAAGGTTTTCACCTTAACAACTCCTAGCAACAGAAAACTAATTTTTAGGTCTCTAGGGCAAGTTTCAGTTGTGGTTTTTGTACAGGACAGCAGAGGATGAGTTCCAAATTCAAACCTGTAATTGAGTTATGTGTAAAACCTGCATTTAACAATTATCTGCACCGTATGCTGTGTGACCTTGAAAGTGATAATAAAATACAAATGACTCCCTCACTCTGCAGTGTACATAGCCCTTTCCTAGCAGTCTAGAATATATCCTTCTAAAATGTTTATGCAGACGTATGCACTGCAAAGGCTTACCTTATCTGTGCTCCGTGATACTTCTGAAGATGAGATGACAGGAACTTGTAAAGAAGTTGCAATAGGATGCTGATGGCAGGGATTATCAGTTAAAGAGGTTTTCTGCATTTTTAAAAGCATTGTAGGTAGAGAATATAAAGGAGGGAAATGTAAGTGTAAAGGAAAAGCAGTTAAACAAAAAACCAAAAGGAACAGCATCTTATACTGTTAACCTTTCTGAGGAGAAAGGAGAATGAAATAAGAAATAAGGCACGTTAAAAATTCTTTTTTCCCCCTCCCTGCCAGCTGTTTAGCTTAAAGTGCAGCCACAATGATATCACTGAAATTGCTGTGCTAGAGCTCTTTTGGAAGTGAGAGAGACAGTCATGGTCATTGAAAAGAAAAAAAAATCTTTTCACCAGCAATATCCAGATTGCTCTTGTCATCACCACCAAACTACTGGTTTGTCCCTGTTTTTCTATGAATTACATTCTACAAAATGGCAATGTAGTGTTCTTTCCCTGATAACTTTTCAGGAACTCTGGAGAACCCCGTCTCTACCCATCTCTCCAGCCTCCTCTCTGGAATAAGGGGGGACCTCAGTCACTTCAAAGATGGAGTCGCTACTACTGCTTGGTGACATTAGTCCTTCCTATCCTTCGCAAAGGATGATCAAAATATTTTCTCTAACAGTTTGGATATATATAGCTTTGTATTTTATTTGTGTGCACACGTCTGCTTTGAAGTCTTCACCCCATTTTTCAGCTCTGTGCCACTCATGATCAATTTCTATGGCAGCTGGTCCATGTTCAAGTCTCTCTCTATTTCTAAAGCTAAATTAAGAGTGTTTAAAGAGTTCCTTAACTAGCCTTTCACCATTGATGTAATAATCACCGCACAATGTTGCTGAGAGCAGCATCCTGAGACTCAAGGGGGTCATTCTGCAAGCAGCTACTTTGCCCTTTAAGGTACCCACTTGGCCACCTTGCTCAACAGCCCTCTGTGAGTAGCCATGGCACTTACAGATCTGTAATGGTCTGAATAACAATTTAAATGGGGAGTGTACATTTTTTTTAACAAAATCATTTAAATAAAGACATAAAAGAGCAGTGTGCTGAGAGGTCAGTGATGCTGAGCAACATAGCGGAAGCAGATGAGGAATGACTCCCATGCTGTTGGGCACATTAGACAGGAACTAGGCACCTGGATGCATTTACAGGAACACAATTTGTCTACCCAGCTCCACTGCATTCTTTGGAGTTTACAGTTCATCTAAACTTTTACTTGTGAAAGTTAAATGGGAAAAGATGGGGAAAGAAGCTTCTAAAAAGCTTTTATGCGTAACAGGGGTTTAGGTTGTAGCCGTGTTGGTCTAAGGACGTAGGCAGACAAGGTTCCTTGGGTGAATTTGATATCTTTTATTAGACCAACCCAAATGGTTGGAGAATAGTTATTAAGCAAGCTTTCGGGTTCAAAAACCCTTGAACCCGAAAGCTTGCTTAATAACTATTCTCCAACCATTTGGGTTGGTCTAATAAAAGATATCAAATTCACCCAAGGAACCTTGTCTGCCTTTATGCGTAACATACATTTTAGCAGGCACAAGTCATTCCCCTCCCTCTTCCGCCCTCCCTAAAATGAGAGTAAGTAAAGGAAGAGGGGATAGGGAAGGAAAAGGCAGTAACACACGCTGACAAGCTCTCTGTTGTTATATCTGAGGTGGTTGAGGATAAGAATGCATTTATGCAGCCAGTAGCAACCCTGCCATTGAGTAAGGGATGTATCAGATCCACCGTTTGTAGACTTCTAGTGAGCAATCATTTGGAATAATTGGAAAATATCAGATGTTATTCTAATATTCATTCTGCTTGCCCCAAAACTAATTTGCATATGGTGTAAATAAGCACGGTGCAAGGAGTCAGTGTTGCTATGCTGATTTGCAGCAGCTGAGATACTGGCACAATAGCTGTTATCACCACTTGAAGTATGAACTCCTTCATGAGTGATTGGTACCTCCTGAATCGGTGGGGGGGCACCCACAGAAGCTGCTGACAGT